CACACACACACACACGTATGTAAAGAATTACATTTTAGGGAGTAGTGTTTACAGTTCAAAATATATCATGTCCGTGCTTATTTATTATTATTTCAAGTTAATCTTGACAGATTAAGAATCTTTATTGAGTAGTCTGTATGTGTTATGTCCATGAACTTCTCTCTATGAGATGTTGCGCTTACTTTAAATGTTTTAATTTTTCCATTTCCTGCTCCGCCAGTATATGTAATTTTCAGTATACCCCTCTTCATGCCCTCTCATTTGTGTTACAACCACTTTTCATACCCAACCTCCTTCCAGGCTATACTGAACGGTTTCCTCAGTGAGTTTTCCCAGGCAGTGAAGGACTGTGCCGGACAGATTGTGGATGCAGCTGTGGAGATTTATAGCCGTTTAAGTGTGGATCTGCTGCCCACCCCAGCCAAGTCCCACTATGTTTTTAATCTCCGGGACCTCTCCAAGTGTGTTCAAGGTGAGTATTCCTTTGGTCTTTGGCTGCTTTTTCATTCATTGGCAATCCAGTCCTTGTATCTGACTATTTCCAGAAGAATTATTTTCTTGGTTTGTTAAGTGGCTTAACACTGACCTGTGAACCATTCAAGCAGGAAAAACACCTCTAACTGAAGAGCTGAACCAGGATAAGTCTACGCATAACAAACTTCACAAAGAACCAATTTCAGATTGTATCTTCGGGCACTTTGTTACTAGCAGCCTGTTGCAAAAACTCATAATTTGTTGCCATCTCTTGAATCTATGAGAAATGCCAAAAATAACACAACTTGACCATCATAAAATACTTACTTTTACAATGACAAGGTGAATCGCAGATTATTAACCGAATTTGACCTATCTCAGGATGGTGTGCCCTTAAATAATCTGGGGAAATAGGACAAGTAGAGCACAAAAGAACAACCTACTTCAGATATAGTATCTAAATGTCCTTAAGAAATAGAAAAAATATGCAGGAAAGTCCTGACACAGGACCTGAGAGATGCATTTCAGAGCAACACCCACACAGTTTTTATCAGAAGTGGTCTCGTTGGAAGGGTGGGTCTCAAAAAAATTCTGTTTTAAGAGAGGGGGAAATAGTTAAGGTTTGCTAAATTACACAAGAACTGGATTCCTCAGAGTTTGTACCTTGACATTATTGAAGTAGTGTGCGATCATCTATACAGGGAATAGAACAAGAGGAAGTCAAGTTATAAATAAGAGCTTTGAATGTCTTCAACAAACCTGAAGAACTATTCCTGAAGACTACTTTCAAAAACTGCAAGAAAGCTTACCTAAGGGTTCAGACTGTGTTGAAGAATAAAGATAGTCTTACCAAATATTGATTTTCAAGCTTGTTGTGAGTATATAGATTCTCTCTGTTGATTACCAGGCATACTGCAGTGTAAGCCAAGTCAAGTAAGAGACAAGACCCAGATCTTCCGCCTTTTCTGCCATGAATGCCAGCGCGTATTTCATGACCGACTCATCAACACCCAAGATAAGACCTACTTCAACACCATCATCTGTGAGATGGCCAGTAAGAACTCTCACAGTCCAGCCTCAGACTTTATTTTCTGAATGCTCAGTTAATTGTTATCAGCTCAAAATCTATATTTTGGCTTTA